ATGATCAGGAGATGGTGACTTTGCCACCTGCCTCCTTAGCTTAGTGCCCAGAAGAAAAGATACCAATGGGGCTGGAAGTGCAGGGCCAGGGGCAGCATGGTCCTTATCAGACACTGGAAGGCAGGCTGTCATTGACTTCCAGAAGGATAAGGATTTCCTCTTCTCCTAGCTCCACTTCAAGACTGTCTGTCATTCTTTTTCTTCCTTCCTTCCTTCCTTCCTTCCTTCCTTCCTTCCTTCCTTCCTTCCTTCCTTCCTTCCTTCCTTCCTTTCTTCCTCCCTTCTTTCCGTCCTTCCTCCTTTCTTTCTTTTTTCTTTCTTTCTCTCTTTCTTTCTTTTTCTTTCTTTTCTTTCTTTATTTTTTCTTTTCTTTCTTCCTTCCTTTCTTTCTTTCTTTCTTTTCTTTGCCTTTCTTTCTTTCTTTCTCTTTCTTTTTCTTTCTTTCTTTTTCTTTCTTTCTTTCTTTCTTTCTTTCTTTCTTTCTTTCTTTCTTTCTTTCTTTCTTTCTTTCTTTCTTTCTTTCTTTCTTTCTTACTTTCTTTCTTTCTTTCTTTCTTTCCAGACTTGCTTTGGAACTCAGAGATATGTCCACCTATGCCTCCAGTGTTCTGGGATTAAAAGTGTGGGAAGCCACCACCCAGGTAGTTCAAGAGTCTAGGGCTCTATGCTAGGACTCTGATTCGACAGAAAGGAAGCAGGAGGTAGATGCATTCTAGTTTGATGACAAAGACAACTCCAGAACAGAGAGGCAAAGTGCCAAACTAACCCCAACACACAGTGAGAGCTACCACTGGGCTAGAGTGCTCCAAACATAGAGACAGGAGACATTTCCAGGTAGGGTGGTGGACAGAGGCTGTACTCAGGCTGCAAAGGTGTCAGTGGTGGGTGCTGGGTTTCAGTCCTGGTGTCTGACAGCTGCACTCTGGCTTGTGCATGGGCTTCTCCATTCTAACCCTCCTCACTTTTCTTTCTCTTCACTTTGATGTTGATTTGAAGACAGGGTCTCACTGTAGACTTGTCTGACCTGGAACTTGCTATGTAGAAGAGGCTGGGCTCCAGCTTACAGAAATCTGCATGCCTCTGCCTCCTGAGTCCTGGGATAAAAGGCATCCATCACAGGGCCTGGATTTCACATAACCTTCTCTCTCTCTCATTCATATATATATATATATATATATATATATATATATATATATATATGTATGCATATAACCTGTGTCTCTCCATTTTCTGTCCTACTTGGCTATTAAAATGTTGTTCAGTGTCTCACTAGGAGGCAGGACCACAGGCTACCCTACTGCTACACCTGGAGGCTCTTCCACTATCTACCTTCTGTCAATCCTGGACAACATGTAGACTGTTAGTCAATGTGGCCAAGTACAACTTCAAGGACTAAAAGGTCTCCACTAGCTCAGGATCCATATTTTCTTTTTGGAACTGAAGAACTGTCTGCACTGAAAGGAGCTCACAGAATGGGGAGAGGGGGCAGGGTGCCTTAGTCTCTGGAGACAAACAATCTGTTCATTCTGAAATCCATAGGCCATCTACACTGCAAACCTACTACATACTGGGTCTTTCCTGCCAAAATTAAGCAGCATCAAAGAGATGCTCAGTTGTCTTCTCAAAGGAGGCCAGCATCATCCCACTCTCCTTCATCTTGGCCAGGCTATACCTGGTAGTAAACTGGTCTTCACCCTGTGCAATGAAAGATGGTCAGAAGAGTCTCAAGCCATTCCAGGAAGTTCAGAACCAAAGCAGAAGGCATTATCCCAATGCTGGAACCAATAGAAACAGCCAAGCAGCTATTCGTGGCACTACTAAAAGCAGATGGTTTTTAGTGCAGCCTCATAGCCATTGGGACTTGATGATCCCAAGGACAAGGAGCCTGTCTCTTGTCAATTGTACCCAGATGCTGTGCCACACAGAATTAGGAATCTGAGTTTTAAAAAGGGGGTTGCTTCTCCTTTCTTATGATCATTAAGCTAATGCTAGAAACAATTTAGTTAATTCCAGTCAAGGAAATTAGCCAAACATACAACAGATCCACACAGGACTGCTATTGTCAACATCTTGTCATGTGAGGGAGTGCTTCATGAATCCTCCCCTGAGGATTGATAGCCAGATAGTGCTTTTTGTTTTTTGTTTTGTTTTTGTTTTTTGCGGTGGAGACAGACATATTCTCTAATGGTGTAAACACTGGTGAGGTGCCCATGGTCCAGTAAACAACCTGTCCCTCAACCCTGCCTTTGTAAGCAGCCCTAATGAAATTCATTGTG